AGCGCACAACTGCTTTGGGGTAGGTACCAATTTCCATCTGTCTTAACATATGGAGGAAAGTCGGCGTTGTGGCAGAGAACACTGCAACAGCACGCTCAGCCAGCCAGGACAGGGGCAACGGGAAGATGGAGCAGGAGTTTGGGGGATTATTGCTTTTTTATTAGTCATTCTCCCTGGAATGAACCCACATTTCCTTCAGCTGCGGAGATTTAGGAGCAGAAACACTCCTGGAGGGGGCTGGAGGGCAGAGCCCCCCTGGATGTGCTGGGCAATGGTGACACCCCCACAGCACCTCGCTCGCTTTCCCTTGCTGCTCCTCAGGCACCTGGGGTACAAACACTTTGCCAAGAGGTGTACGCTTCCATACAGCCCTCCACAGCATCACTGCAAGTGCCAGGAGGTTGAACCAGGTCTGCTAGACACAGGGGAATTAAACCAGGGTGCTGGCAAGCCACCAGAGAAAGGACCTGGCACACTGTGAGCAGCTCCTGGGTCTTCCAGTCTTCCATTTTCAGGGCTAATTCTTGATCAACCCCCACGTGCACAGGTGCCCAGCACAGCTGATCCATCCAGTCCCCATGAGGTCTCTGCCCCGCACAAAGCACATTGCCTGAGCAGGGCTCGCCCGAGCTGCCCTACCAACGTCAGTACACATCCAAGTCCCTGTCAGGAAGGATTAATTTTATCTAAGGCAAATGCAAAGAAATTAAAAATTGAGAAAACCCCCACAAAACCAAAAACCCACACCACCAAGCATCAACCTCACCCAAATGAGTGATTTTTTTTTTTTAATTGCACATTTTTTATGCCTCACCATACTGAATACACAAGCAAAGAGTGATTTAATTTGTATTTGACCAGAGACTTAATAAAATTACGATTCAAACTTAATTACTGATGAAAACCCAAAGCTTGAAGATCTCCATCTTGACTCACAAAAGGAGCTTGGGATGCAAGAGCAGCTGTACCACACGGTGCCAGAGGACTGGAAATTAGTGTCGGGAACAGGGAGAGAAGAGAGACTCTGGAGCCGGCTCCGTGCAGGGATGGGGGAGAAATACCGTACTGAGAGCACGCACAGGGAACGGGGATTGCAAGCCTGAGGGGTGCTACATCTGCTCCCATTTGCAAATAAAGATGTCCTTTGCATCACACTCTCGCAGTCGGCTGGCAGACCAGCTTGAATTACACCTCCCAAAATCCAATCGTGGTTATAGACACGGTGATCAATAAATACCCAGGGCAAGTACACTCACCCCACTCCCCACCTCTCCAGAAATGGCCTCTACAGCAAAAGCAATTAGCAGAAATGAAGTTTTGCTCCAGGCTCATCAAAACCAGCCTCACGTCCACTGACTCCCAGAGGAGAACTGGGCTTTGTAACTCTTTTCCCCCCCTGTTTATTTTGTTAGTCTCTGTGATGGGTCAGCAGCTTTGGGTCATCCCATCCTGCCAGGCACCACCAAGCGCTGGACTCGCACCTCTGGAATTGAGCATGAAAATAAAACAAACTTGAGATTGCGTGAAATCACCTCATTAGGTTGCATTTATTTATTTAAACATCAAATAGTAAACTACTAGCTGTGTGGCCAGCCTGACCATTTCACCAGTCTGGTTTCCCTGCTGAAGAACAGGGAGGTTTCACGGGACACCAGTTCATCTCTCCACAGCACCAGTCCCTGCAGCCTCACCCACTGGCCTGGCTGTGCTGCAGCACCTTCAGCAAGCGAAAACAAATCGGCATGGAACGGGATTAAAACATCCCGAACAAAACACCAAGCAAACACACAACAGTGTCTGGATCTTAAAGCGTTTCTTTGCAGAGAGATGTGTTTTCACCTCTGGCCTTTGAAATGATGCCCACCTCGGGCAAAAAATCTGTTTCTCATTACACACCCGCAGAACCCCATTTAATTCACTGAGAAAGGTGGATGACAGAACATTACTGGGTGTTTCAAGTCTAGTGCAAGTGTCTTGTCCCCTGGCACTCTGACTGATTAAAAAAAAAAAAAAATCTCTGTAGTAAGGCAGACAGCTGATTAGCCAGCCCAACCAGTCAGGCAAAATGTGCTTTTATCATCAAAAACAATTTCTGAAGTTTCTTGCACATCCCTACCCCCGTGTCTGAATGCATCACAGCTGTTGTGACAAAGATGGGCTCCTACACTCTTCTTCTGAAATTTGGCCCAGAGAGACTAAACCGCTCAGCAATAGCAGCGAGGCCAAGGCACCCCAGCGGGCTCAGACCCTTTCCTCTCTCCTCCCCGGGTTGTCAGAAGGCAAAGAGCAGCAAGATGCCTCCTGTCTTTAGCTACCCCAGGAGAAGCCTGACTCCCAAATCCAGGAATTGTCACAGAAACACCCAATGTGTAACGACTCAAATCTAGGTTAGTTTGGGTCTCATCCCGGCTGAGGAGAAGTATCAGCTGAGTCTCACCAAGCGATGGCTCTGCACGTCCCCACGGGCTCGGCTTTGGTCAGGCTGTGCCAATCCAGTGACAAGTGGGTCCCAGCAAAACCACCCGATTGAGCCAGTTCCCTCCACAGCCCTCCTAAGTCAGAAAAGCAGCCAGCTGGGGTGGGCAGAAAGTGACTGCATTAGGGACAGCTGAGCTGTAAACTCACCTCCAACAAGCAACACCTGCCTCGGTGAGGGCAGCAAGAGTCCCCTCTCCAAACTACCACTGGGATCTTCCCCAGGTCACAGCTACCATTTCTAAACCTATTCTGAATTCCCCACAGAGCAAATACAAACCAAAATTAGGTTTGCAGGGCTATAGTATTCCCCTCAAATAAAAAAAGCACAGCATGCCATTCTCAGCACGTTCTAAGAAAGTACCAGTCCCCGCACATCTACACCTCCAGCGTGACAGTTTATATTTGGAAATGCCAGTTTGCACTGAAGACAGTTTGATCGGTTTATAGCCTGGAAAGCAAAGAGGAAACCTCGCAGCATTGATCCACCCTGGGAAGAGGCATCAGTACATTTGTTATTTACTCTGCACCAGCAGGTCTCACGTCCGGCCGCCAGAGCCGACACGGGCTGGTTCTCACCATACGGTTGGGGTTTCTCACCCTGGTGCTTTGCCGGACCGAGGGCTCCGGCTGTGAGCGAGCAGCCCCATCCTCACGCTCACGGAGCAAAACCTGCTTCGCTCCAGGATTCGGGCCCCAACGCCTGGCAGGGGAACTCCCAGCTGTCCCCAACCCCAGCACGTGGGGTCACGTCTGGCGGGGCGAGGAGGCTGAACGGACCCAAAACACCATTGCCCTGGAATAAAACTCTGGCGGAAGAAGGGAAAAGCACTTGCCGGATAAGCCGCGTGCTTGCACAGCACGTACCCAGCACGCCCGTTAGCATCATATATTATTTATCTTTGAAGGCTTCAATAAAGTTAAACAGAGTCTCACGTGTCTTTGCTACCAGGAAATCTCCTTTCCCTTTTATCCATAAAACCTGTTGTTGTTCAGAAACAAGAACCAGTTTACTGTCCACATGTCAGCACAAGGGCTGCCGGGTGGGGAGGACAAAGTACCCCGGTTCAGTTGTTTCTAACTGATTTCACTTCCCGATTCCCATGCAAATGCCGCGCAGCTCAGCTTGCAAAAAAACCTAAGCACAGCGTTTAAACCCAAAACAACCAGAGCTGATTTTCTTTTTTTTTTTTTATTTCGTTTGTTTAAGCCTGCTTCCACCAAAACAACCAGAAATTGGAAACATTTCCGAGGAAGGAGCCTTAAAGCTTTATAGTTCCCAGACCTGTAAGCTACGGTGAGCGCGGTGCAGGCGGGGGACAGGCTCCCTGCCCAGCCGGGCTCCGGACAGGCTTACAGAGCACTAGGCTTCGACTTTTTTGATGGTTTTATTTATTTTGCTTTTAATCTTCCAGGTCAAAGTTTCGTCCTCAAGGCTAGCACCCTCCCAGGACCGCCCGCTCCTCCAGCACATCAAAGCTGAACTAGTGCCTCGTAAAAAAAAAACCCAAGTAATCCCCATCTCCTCCTCTTCGCCGTATTATTTGCTTTTGTTTTACGATGTTACTGTAAACAGAAAGGGGGATGTTTCCCTCTTTCCCGGGGTGGTGGTTTGTTGGTTGTTTTTTTTCTTAAAACTACA